GTTTCTTAGTGTTTTCTTTTATGAAGCGGTAATTATGAGATACAATTTTTTTTCTCAAAATGAAAACTAGCGGGCAGACGCTTTGGCAAACGACTGTGTAGCGTAACATAGCCCCAGTCTGGGCCCTATCATCCACCGTAAGTCTGGATCGAAAGGAAGACGTAGAGATGATAGTTTTATTGCTCTTATCGCATTACGGAACCGTGATTCTAGGTAGTCAACTCCAAAACTCCAAACGGTCACTAATGTAAAGGAGGCTCCAGACATGCGGTATTCGCGGAAGCCGCGCAAATTTTCGCCGAATCCGGACTAGTGTAGATGGACGCTCGGCTATTCGCTGAATACCGACATCCGGCGCTCGCCAAGCTCGGATTTTTGTCGGTTTTCTTGCCCGCTACAAAGGGCAGGAATATTCGTGAAGTAACCGCACTCAAACCATCCACACAATGGGGGAATCAACTATAACTGTACGGACCTTTAACCTACTGTCAACTGTTATCAAAATCAACAGTAAGCATATATTCACTAATTTTCGTGGTCCGCTTGACCAATTAATATCTTTCAATTAATTAAGGTTTTTGGTTTAGATAAAAAAGTCAGCGTGCGGTATTCGAACCCACGACCTTCGGCCAGATGCGCCGCTACTCTACCACTTGAGCTATCGTGATTTCGATCCACTCGGACACCAACATCCCATCTCAACCCCACCTTTTGAATTTCCCTCCTTTTTGCCATTTTTCAAACGTAGTGTCATCTATTTGATTTTCGGCGGCAAATGAAATGGCCACGGAGAGCTTTAGTGAAGATATACTTCATTTTAACATTAAATTCACTAATTTTCGTGGTCCGCTTGACCAGTTAATATCTTTCAATTAATTAAGGTTTTTGGTTGAGATAAAAAAAGTCAGTGTCACGAGCGGGATTCGAACCCACGACCTTCGGCTATATACGCCGCAACTCCACCACTTGAGCTCTCGTGAACTCGATTTGCCGCCGAGAATCAAATAGATTACACGATATTTGAAAAATGGCAAAAAAAGAGGGAAAATTCAAAAGGTGGGGTTGAGATGGGAAGTTAGTGTCCGAGTGGATCGAGGTCACGATAGCTCAAGTGGTAGAGCAGCGGCGTNTATGAGTGGCTGTTTCCTCCTCCTCATTACATAATCTGCAGATGGGCTCATCGCTGTATATACCCATGTTGTGTAGATGTTTTCTCAGATACCAGTGACCGGTTAGTAGTCCCACCACTCCTCTGAGTTTTGCCCTCTCCAATTGCAACAGTGTTTTTGCCAATCTTGTTGAGGGTTGTTTCATCTAAGTTTACTATGTCTAGCACCGCTAGAGTTTATCCACTTCTCTTTTTATTTTGCTTGGATCCATTCTGCAATAGAGGATTCTATGTTTGTTTTTGTTATCCCAAGGATATGTTCGGAGCCTATGTATGGTCTTGCAGATCCTCCTCTGGCCAGTTTGTCAGCTTCCTCGTTACCCAAAATTCCCCTGTGCCCTGGCACCCAAGATATCATCAGGTAGTGTTTTCCCAGGTTTTGGAGATTTTGGATGCATTCACTGACTAGTTTTGATGTAATTCTTTTACATGCTAATGCTTTAATGGCTGCATGGCTGTCTGATCTTATGAGGATTTTTTTGTCAGTGTAAGATTTTCCAGGGCACAAGCATTGATGGCATGTATTTCCGCTTGAAAGATTGAAGTATACTTCCCTAATGAGTTTGATTGCTCATATTTTGAGCTTGTACAGAAAATGCCTGATCTGATGCTCTCCTGTGTTCTTCTTTCGCTTTATAGTCTGTTGAGACTTTATAGGAAGTTGTGAAGATTGTTTCCGGGACCATGTAGTCAGTCCCCATTTCTAATAATGGGTGTGTGATTTTGTTGATTATGGTTGTATGCCCGAATTGTTTAATTCCTTTCCAATTTAATTGTATCTGGAGCCTAAATGAGCTTTTCCTAGCCTCTCCTTGTATGAATATTTCTAGTGGAGGCAGGTTTAGCAAGGTTTTTTTGATCTGGGGAGAAGATCAAGAACGCAACAAACATTTAGTGGTATGTGGGGGTATGGTATGGGGTGGAATAAATTCGTCCATGCCCGTACAGAACTGGTTACCATGCAGAAATGATATTTGACTTCATTAAGATACAACGAGGAAGTTCTTCTGTAAGCTTTGTCCCATTCAGTCGTAGGGGACAACATCGTGTTATTGCATGGCAATTCTCGACTGCATGTTACCCATTACTTGGAGGATGATAGGAGAACACTTATGAGAATGATAGTCATCGTTCGGCGCCTCCATCAAGCGTTGAGCAGCTTCAACCTGTGTTTTGAAGAATTTTCTTTCAAACCACAGTAATGAAATGTTTTTTATTAAATCTCATGAATTTCTGATCTCGTTTAATTTGGTTTACATAAAAATAAGTATGTACTAATTAATATAACGATAAAAATATTTAATACCTATAGTTTGAAATAACCGCAAAATGCGAGTGTCCTGTTTTTGTCTTTGAGAGTATAATGTGAAATAACGGGAATACGACAATAAATGAAAAAGACAACACCGGTAACTTGCAATAAATTCAAAAACCGCAAGGTTTATTTGCATAACCACACTTTTCCATTTTATAAATATTTGATATAACTGAACTATTGAACTGTTTGATCAAATTAATCAAACATGTTCCCTTTCTGTTTCTTTTTTTGTGAAATATTTTGAAATGTCCTATAAATATAGAGGGGAAATTGGCCCCCTTCTAATAGAAAACTAATGCTAGGTGATACTTTTCGGCAATCGTTTTCTCATCATGATCCGCTACGGGGATAAGAAAGCCCGTCAAAAATGACTTTCTTCTCTCGAATATCTTCATTATGCGCCTTATGCAATGAAAAAGGAATTTACAGCATTTTCCAATCTGAAAGGTAATTTTGTCGTAAACGGTGTGTAATTTTATTCCTTGGCTGAGGCTTTTTATATATTCTTTGCCATGTTCGAAAGATATTTAATGAACGCTAACAAGTCTCATACTTAGCAATTCAAATTCGAGGCAGACATGTTTTCAAAACTGATTTTAAAAAAACTATTTTAAGATAATTGCAATTCGGTATATCTTTGTGTTAATGTATTCTCCAACTTTAGAAGAAAGTTGCTTAATTTTAAAATTTGAATTTTTATTATCTGCACAATCTTTCAATCAGGAACAAGATGATAAATTACGGTCCATATGCCGCGCAGAAACGTTTATTCAATTACTGTACCGCAGTTATTACAGTACTATAATTTTTTCTATATGAAATATCTTTCGTAATAAATCCTGATGAAAAGCTTGTTAGCTTGTTTCATGTGTCCAGTTTTCGGTCGATGTTTATATTAATTCCAGTGGTTTTACTAAATTCAATTAATTATTTTTGGGGGAAGTTGCCCAGATTCAACTCATCGACTTTTCTCATGTGCTCACTGTCGATCAGAAGGTTCTCTCAATCGTTATGGTGGATTATCTAGTGGGTGAAAAAATAATTCTGGGAAGTAAAGGATTAAGATTACAGTTGAGTGATTGATGGAATTTGATTAGGTCATGGGCAAACAGGGTTTGAAGGTCGTTGTGTGTTGTGTAAATGAATACATCACAGTGAGTTTGAAGAATTTATCAATGTACCTTGTAAGGTGTTGAATGTTATTTTGTTGATTCTTTTCTAAGTTTCAGAGAAAAGCACGCACATGTGATAGTTAAAGAGGTTTGGCCGGTTAACAAAGAACCTGGACTAGGCACTGCCGATGCTGTAGAGAATAGGAATGTGCCAAGTCAATTATAGGCAGTTGCTGCTCTCAGTTCATTTAAAGATGCCGTTTTTTGACAGAAGGAAGTCACCCACTTCACGCCTGATTGAGGTGAATTCGGTGGCAAAGGATGTTTTTGTTGATTGATAAACGCCAAGAATGATTGCGTCCATCTTTCGTGATCAAGGAGCGGTACTACATTCAAATTTGAAAGGTACTTCATTTTTCAGAAACACTCAGTGTAAATATAATAAAAGTAGCGCGTCAAGGATGCACCTCTGTGGGACACATACTCTGGTATGGGTGTAAAAAGAATTGTTTTGGCAGGTGCAGCGTAGAAAACAGTTCAACGTTAGGCATGTTGTAAGAATATGGACTAGAATAAGGAATAGAATAGAAGATTAAAGACAAAAGAAAACCTTGCTCAATTATAGTGCAGGACCATCAGGTATGGTTTATAAATCAACTTATTATAATAAGTTTAAAGCTTACGGTGGATCGAGGTGAATGGTTAAGGAGTTCTGGCAGGTAGAGAGGTTAAGAAAGTTTAAATAATAATAAGTATAGCTGTAATGTGAGCAAAAAAGAAATTATACAGTATGTGGATGGACGCAACGTCAAATGAAAGGAGTTATTAACTACCAAAACCGGGTATGTAATATTGACAGCGTAAATTAGGAATATGAATGGTCAAAGGGCATTTCCTTGTGAGACGGTCACGGTTAGTCACACATGGTTGCCACCTTGGCATGCCATCACATAGAAGTACCGAATTATGGTACCAGAAAAAGCTGAATCGGAGAAAAGACTAATTGTCAATGCTGATTATTTGGCAAAGGATGGCTCAAAAATAAAAGGCACTGAAGTCGTTAATTGTAAACGTTAATCCAGGGTGGAAATGCGAATTTCTTTGGGGAAATTTGGTTGCTAATGAACTGTGTGCTCATCATTGCAGAAGGTAAGAAGATGAAGAGCTTATACTCAGCCAAGCAGCGCTCAAAGCACTGAGCTAAGATTATGGACAGTTGGATATAGTGGGTGAAATAGGATGGAAGACAAATTGTTTACACGCCTTGGTTTTAGGGCACAATGAAGAGAAGGTTAAGGAAGAAACAGACAATTTAGCCAGCTTCCTCAGGACTACCAATGGGACCCAAACAGTTTAGCATATTGCAAACATTTGTAGAATTAATGATTTTAAAAACTCATACCTGGAGGAGGTGTTGCTCCATTAAAGACCAAGGCAAAAGATTTCGTGAACAGTCTCAGCCAAACCTACAACAGATCTGCGTCAGTAAAGTCTAAACCGAGACGGAAAAAATTATTATGTAAATGTGTGGTGTTTAGTGACCGTTAGCCAATGATTATTCGGAGATCGAGAGATGCGGTCAGGTTTTAGAAAAACATTTTCTTTATCGTGCCAACGTTTCGATCTTTATTGAGATCATCTTCAGGGCCTGGGATTTATAAACATTGTTTAAATTTTACAAATACATGTGGGATGTGAAAAAATGATTAATACAATGCTAGAAAATTCTAGATTTAAAAAAATCAATTTATGCAATGCTAGAAATTTTAGATTAAATCAAGAAAAAAAAGAATTTATATAATGATAAAAAAAGTTCGATTAAAAAAATGAATTTTAGATTAAAAGAAGAAAATTTTACATTAAAAAAAGGACTTTATATAACGAAAATTTTAAATGTAAAATTTTACATTCAAAATTTTCTATCATTATATAAATTCATTTTTTTAATCAAAAATTTTCTAGCATTGTATCCTTTCTAGCATTGTATTCTTTTTTCTTTTTTTTTAAATCAAAAATTAAATAAACTAAAAAAATGATTTTATACAATGTTAGAAAATTTTACATTAAAAAAAGGAATTTATGTAATGATAGAAAATTTTACATTTAAAATTTTCTATCATTATAAATTCATTTTTTAATCTAAAATTTTCTATCATTGTATAAATTAATTTTTTTATTAAAAATTTTCTAGCATTGTATAAATTCATTTTTTTCACATCCCACATGTATATCTAAAATTTAAACAAGTTTATAAATCCCAGGCCCTGAAGATGATCTCAATAAAGATCGAAACGTTGGCACGATAAAGAAAATGTTTTTCTGAAACCTACATTACACCAGGCCGCATCTCACGATCTCCGAATAATTATGTAATTGGTTCATCTTATTTAAATTACTCTTATCCAATATATTTATGGTTTTTGGAATATAGTGTACATTGAAAAATATATTTTATTAATGTTTTTTTTAAATATGTTTTTTACATTTTATTCACAAGTTGAGCAGAGTCTTTTCTTACAAGACCACACCCCACGAAGCATGGGTCGTCCATTTGGACATCAGGTTTGAAAGCTGGCATATCTAGTACACGGTTTTTACGAGCCTAAGTGACAAGTTAATTGTATTTTTCATTCTGCTAAACCGCCACTGAACCGCAAGCAGTCGATAATAACCTTTCAAAGTATAAAAACCATGGAAAATTATCTGAAATAACGCCCCCTGCGGCGACAAGGTCGGATGGTGAAAAACTAAACAATGCCTTGCTTAAGAGCATAATAGTCCTCGGGGGAAAATATGGCTTTACCGTTGTCACCGGCCGGTAATTAAAAGTTTTTACGCCCTTTTTGATAGCGGTTGTTTCGTTTCGGTACTCGTTCCAGAGGACATAACTGCCAGAAGAAAACACCACTACTACATCGCCCTTGTAAAGAATCTAACAACTAGTCCAAAAAAAGAACGATTACTGTTAGCAATCAGAAGATTATTTGTATTATGCTGGGAAGGGTTATAATTCTAGCTGAATATACTGGGTGGTGAATCGTAAAGTTTGGTCGTTCCTAATCGTCTTGCAACAAGCTTTTCTGGTCTGTCAGGGGTGAGTTTTCCAAATTTTGCTTGATAGGTCGACGGGTTTGGATGTCAGAAACTAACAACCCACAACCAAGTAAGAAAAACAAGGATAATATGCAAATTTAATGTGTATAAAAGTAAAAAACAATAAATAAAAAAACTCGAAATCCCTTAGGTTGTGAAATTACCGCTTCTTGAGGACTATGGGGGGGGGGATAAATCTGCAATTTGGTCGTTCCAATCACCATGCTGAACAATGCTCTTGTATATCAGACGATATTTCTGTATTTGCATTTGTTGGTCTGGGTATATTTCCTATGGATAGGATTAAGAACAAACCGAACTCTGGAGTTGAAATAATTACGCAATAACTGATTGGAATAAACAACGATAAAACACACATTTAATTTACATACAAGGTATAAAAGAAAGGACGTACGCACGAATCAATGCACAGGGCAACCAAGTAGCAAACTTCAGAACCAAATTAGGCGAGAATAGACGGAGCAGGGGCGTCGGTGGTCGCAACGGTTTAGGCGTGACACGGCGCTCATCTCTGTAAGGTAAAGGTCCCGGGTTCGAATCCAGCGGCCCTGCAAACACCGGCACCCTGAGGGTTTATATGACCTCTGCTGTTGCAAACCATCGTATATATATATTTAAAAAAACAACTCAAATTACCAGTATTAACAACCCTTAGGTTGTGACAATTCCTCTCGTGGCTTGAGGGGATGACTATGGAATATGGTTGTTTGATTCGTTAGGTTTGATTGATTGGTCTGTGCGTTTATTCGTTTGTAATTCTTACGGGCAGGTTCACAATGAATCAATCTGTGTAGACGGCGACAGTTACACAATAACCCACTTGAACAAACAACGATAAAACCCAGATTAATAAATACAATGGGGAAATGCTGAAAAGACATGCAGATGGGTAAACGGACAGAGTTATTCTATGAATATGACGAAATGCAAGAAGGAAATAGGCGAGTATAGTCAGATGCTCGAAAACTCCAAACTTAAGAAATTATGCCCCTTAAGTTGTGAGATTTCTTCTTCTTGAGGCCTCTTGGAAGATGAATCTGGATTTGAATGTTTTCGATAATCATCTTCCTTGCTGCTCTGGTACGCCATACGATTTTTTAATACAAATCAAACTCTGAAGGTATTGACAGTTACAAAATAACCGACTGGAATAAACAAATTTAAAACCCAAATTTAAACATTGTAAAAGGACAATGCTGACAAGGTTTACGATTAATCGCAAATACAAACTCTGCAGAATCCCCAAAATCTAAGCAACTACACGCAAGAAACGTTTGTTTTCTTCTGTGCAACGGGATTCGGCTTTTCGTTAACTTCATTGGAGGATTTTTTAGTATGGTTTGTTTGCTTGTGAAAGTGAATCTATTATATGGTACATACTATAGTCGGACAAAATCATCACTGATGATGATGAAAAGCCTTTAATAAAATAAAACCTTAGGCCAAAATTGGAAATGACTAAACTCGAAGAATTACAACCATTGATTAAAAAAACCTTTTTCTGTCTTTTACAGCAGTATTTTTTAATTTTTTATAACACAAGTAAAATTATTAGTAGGTATAAATAAAGAAAGCTAAAACAAAATCTGACAGTTATAAAATAAAACAAAATTTGGCACAAGGGTTCGAAGAATCAATCATCCAATGATGAAATTTCCAGCACAGTGTACATCCTACGTATCGCTGGCCAACAGGTGGCACTGCCGCTTTTATCTCCTTGGGAGATTATTGGGGATGTTAGGTTTACAATTAAGGAATTGGGGTGTAATGGAATAATTTCATGTATCCTGGTTTTATGACATCTTTTACAAAAGGAATTTGAAGGTCCTAGTGGTTTGTTTGATTAGATAGGTAAACACCATTTTTCGGAGGGTTTTGGATTGGAAAATCTGGATGCGATGATAAATGAATTGTTCCGTTAAACTCCACTAACTGTATATATTGCCTTACGTCCACATGGGTTTAATTACCGTTTCATAAATCGATGGTTTGTTGTGAAGAGTTTTGAACGTTTGTCTGGACATCGCGAGAGGGTTTTATTTAACCAGTGATTTTTTTTAGTCTTATATGTGGATTCCAAGACAGTCTTTTGTCGATATACAGCCCGAGGTAGTGGGAAATAGTATATAAACATAATTAGATTTTCCCTCGAGACATGATCACAAGAAGTAAAACTGATTATACGACTGGCCGTGGCCATAGAATACGTAAGCGTAGAGATAAACCGTTTTGTAAATCAGCTCTATAAACATTTCTTATCGTAGTTGTTTTATTAATGCTCATAATATCAACAGCCCTTCTAATCTCACTATTCATTGATATTAGCAGTAGTAGCAAAACAACGTTCGAAGTCGGAAAAAGCATTTGGTTGAACAGTTATAAAAACCAACGATATCTTTCGGTAAAGTGTTTTAATTATAAAATCAAAAGCATAATTTTTCAACTTTTCTATCTTCAATCTTTCTACCTATCAGACTCAGCTATTGGGCAAATTTTCCGGACGTCCGTGTAAAATGTATCAAAGTTCTGATAAAAGGAATAAATCATTAGTTTAGACAAAAATTTGTTTATTTTCTAAGTGTTATACGTTTAAAGCCGTTTGGCATATAAAAGGTCTTTTTAAAACCACATTTATTATGCAAACGCCACCACTCCTGTTACTTCTTTTTTATCCTTTTGTACTACTTCTCAAGGCATCCTTGAACAGCTTACTTTGCGAGTTAACACTTTTCCTTTTTGCTTCTATTTCAACTCTAAAACGTAACGGAAGAACGTATTACATAATAACTTCATTTTCGCAATTTGTATGAGGTTAATAACTCAGGTTTTAAAATCATTTTTCCTCTTTTAATGATATATTAAATGGTAACGCTCGAACTTTTTAGCGGCTGAATAAATACGATTTTAAGCAATTTTTTGCAACTGTATGTATGTACATGAAGTGGGAGGTTTATGGACCGAAAAAAGCTGAAGTCATCGCTGGACCTCTGCGTGTTTTCCTCCTTCTCTCTAGTTTTATGTATAAACTGCGTCGACATCCTTTGTACCTTTTTTCGTTTGTAACTCAAGTTGTCAACTACAGAATAGACACAAAACATGTAATAGATAATATACGTCATAACAAACATTGCAGCCTGGACGCATTCACTCTACCAGTGTACTCAATATTCAACTACTCAATACTCAATTCAATTCCCGCTAATAACTTACTTTTACTATCCAGGCATCACACACTCACCTCAGAGTAATCGAAATTCCTTGGGGTGCGTTTTGCAACTGTAGCTTTTCTCTTGGAAGAAATAAAATTAAATCGATTTATCAAAGATAATAATAATAGGGGGCGTCGGTGGCC